CTCAGAATATGTTACTGAGTTACGATGAGAAAACTCATTTCTCAGGTTGAGAAGACCATAATACGGCATAGAGGAGTTTTCGTGCTAACCACACGTATCCATTAAACCCATGGCCTCGAAGGCGGACACTGCTGGTAGGCCCTGGCCCGTTCGCGGGCTGTTGCGCCAAGTACAGATAGACGGGAGTAGTTATCTATTAATTAAATGGCATTCTTCGTGGCAGCGGATTCGTTATGTGACATAGCGTGCGATTCAATGTAAAATATTGATGAAGTAATGACAGTAAGTTACTTAAGTAAGCGGTTCTTGTGAAGAGGAAATGGTGTATCTTACTCGTCTCTTTAGACGTAAGTTAGCATCATAAATTAGCACATGTCATTATCTTGTTTGTTTAATTAGTGTGAATGTCTACAAATGCACACTACTTTATTAATTTTCATTTATGCCGCATTATCTTACCGTAGGTATTGATTTGTTGAGAAAAAATCATTTATTTCCCCCTTAATATGAAATTACTGTAATTATCAAGTGATTCGTTCCTGTATTTAATCGATTCATTGATCATGAATGGAAAAATTATTCAGCTTTTAACATTCCTCTGTCAAATAATTATTTTCTATACAGCGAGTCTCACCAACTATGAGCCACCCCATTAGCAGCTAAACGATTCCCGATATCGACTTTCAGTTTTCGCTCAACAATGCGGAATCAAGGGGCAAGTGATATGGTGTAGAGATATTGTTTGAAATATTTTTAGCTTTTGACAAATTTATTCATATTTGATTTTTTAAATGGAACTATATATTTTTCTGACTTGTAATGGATAGATCATAAAAGAGGAATGCAATGATGTAACATATGTTAATATTTTGATAGTATTTTGTTCATAAAATTATAGTTTCTGACCTGAGATTTTAAATTAAATATGCATTTTTTTCTGTGACTGCCGTCGCAATTGTCGCTTTTGGCGAACGACACCTCCGCGGCCCTCTAAAACCGCCGGCGCCGCGCCGCGCAGCGCAGACAACCTTCCCGAAAGAAGACAGTTGAAAGTGTTTCTTCAGGAAATCGTGTATATCTAATTTAAAATCACATGACGGAAAGTATAATTTTATACTCCAAATACTAACAAAACATTAACATATTACTTCTAGGCTGTCCGGGTGACGCCGCGTCGTTGGCAGATAGGCCGACGTTTCGCCTGTCACCCGGACAGCCTAGAAGTAATGGACTCGAGCCGCGGAAGCCTACGTGAACATTAACATATGTTACATAATTGCGTTCGTTTATTTATGATCTTTCTATTGCTAGTGAGATAAATGCATGGTTCAATTTAAAAAATTGAAGATGATTAAATTTGTCGGAAACTAAAAATATTGCGAACAATACCTCTACTTGCCCCATGATTCCACATTGTTGAGCGAAAACTACAGTTGGCTCTCGGGAACCGTTTAGGAGTTATGGAGGTGACTCATCGTTGGTGGTACGCGCTGTATACAGCTACATCGAGATGGACGAATGTATGTGACTAAGCACAACAGAAACTTACCAGTTTTCATTCACCAGCACGAGTGGAAGGGAAAATGTCGAAGAATCAACTCGCAGCGGCCTGCGAGGTTAGCTCGTCTCTCGGGCATATTGAGGGGCAACGCACCAAGCCGTAGGTGAACATATGTGGCGAGCTGCAAGCTGAAACTAAATGAAAAATATGCGCATAAAATAACATTATTCTACTGAAAAACTATTTACACCAGATTCCAATATTCAGAATAACACACTACTTATTGCCTTTTCGTACACATTAAAAATATGCAGCTTCCTTCTCTACCATTTAATCCTTCTTTTTCTCGTAGGTCGTAGCCCGTAATGACGCGTGATTTTAAGTTTGTGGTAGAATATAAATTTCTGATTGTAATAAAAAGTAATGTAATTCTACAAATATTGATGTGCAGATTTTTACGGAAATGCACCGCTTTGATATTAAAAAACGTTTTTCTCAAAAACATGTGCTAGTCTGTTTGTCTGACTGCCTGCCTGCTTGCCTGTATAGAATTAATTATTCTACTGGAAAACTATTTTCACCAGATACCGATGCTTGCCTGCTTACCTCTTTTTTCCATCTATGAATAACTGTAGCGTGTAAAGCGTTCACCCAATTTCCCCAAAAATGGACATTACCCGAGCAATCCGAAATTTTTGTATTTTCAAAAAATAAATATAAGCACTTCCTCGGATCTCTAGCGCTCTTTGGTGACGTTTTTTTCAAAAGTGGTATTGGTAGGATACCAACAATAATATAGTATAACGTAACCATTACAAATAATATGAGAAAGTATATGTTGTAGTAGCACTACAAGTTTCAGAGTATTATGAGCGCTCTTTGTCGCCGTGGGGTCAAGAAATTCTTAATCCGATTGCAATATGTAGAGTATGCTTTGAGATTATCTCCCACACATAAACAAGGAAAAGCGGGAAATTAGTGTCTTGTATATATCTGTTTAACTTGATATCTTAACCTTGAGTGTCCCTTGGCATGTGTAATCATCGGATTCATTTTAATTCTCCCTTCATATTAAATTTCTGGAGAAATTTGAAAACGACGTTGATAGCGAGGTTATATTCAACATTTTTTACTCATTTATATGATTCATTTGATTTTAATTACTGTATTTCTAAGGATAATTTAACTTTTAGCAGGGTACTCGCCGCCTGCAGGTGAAAATCTCCCGAGAGTTGTCCTTCCCGATTGTGAGAATGATATTTCAAGTCTGAACCCGGCAAGTCTTAGATGAATTCTGCCTGGTTCGTTGCCACCCTTCCCTCACCCTCGCCCTCACCGCTTCCACCAGCGGCACGGCGCATCCGAAAGCCACGTGCCCGCTCCGCTCTCGATCCGAATCGTTGAAATTATTCACTAGCCGCCAGACGGCGCTGCCATCGATCTCCGATCTCCGCGTCGTTCCTGCGCTGCATGCATAACAATCCCTCCTCAGCTCTGCCCCAGCGTACGGCGAGGGATGAAATGATCCCGTTTGTTGCTCTCCGCGGAAGGAAAATATTACGTTCGCTGCTGTCGTAAACGGATTCCCTCTATCTACATTTTTACTCTTCTTCCTTTTGCCGTATGAGAATGGAGAGTCAGTCCGTCCAGCTTAAGAATGACAGCGCGGATTAAAGTTGTTGTTGGTTGTTTTATTTATTGTGCTTCCTGCCCTTAGATCGGTTCAATATGAAAAAAAAGTCTCAAAACAATTTCGGCTAATCCAAAACGTGGAGAAAAAACGTTACGTTCAAAAGTCTCTAAAAACACTCCTTTGAAGAGTTAATTTTTCTTTAAATTTCAACCCGTTGGTGGCACAGTTTATTAGCATTAAATTGGCGGAAATTGCGCTGAGTTTTTGAATTATTTTGAATTATCAATTGATCTAAGGGATAAGTAGAAGATAATCACCTCCATTTTTAACGCACATCCTAGTGAGAGTAAGGAAGAAATGATCGCGCTCATAGTTCTGGCATGGGTTTACTTTTGTTTAGTGTTATTGCTGAAGCCGTGAAGAACTCGGTTCGAAAAATAAATCGATAGAAAATATTGTAAAAAAACATTTTTAATTCGAAGACATCTAATGAATTTAAGAAAAATAAAAGCTCTATTTATATTTTAGAGTCCTTGCTTAATGAAATTAAATTAATATTTTCTCAATACTTTATAATTGCAAGACATGTTGCTCCTTATTCATTGTGTTAGAATATATTTTCCTTTTATATAATCAAATCACATTGAGATATATTTCGAATTATTATGTCACAAATATGAAGATGAAACACGATATTATATTTTGAAATGGTACGTTGTTTGCATTTATAAGAATAACAGAAACTTGTTAGATGACGCACTCAGGTCATTTGTGAGTAAACGGCATGCCTTTCTCCTGAGTTACGGACTGCATTCCTCCTTCAATCTGTGAACGCGAGTTTTCCTTTTCTGTCAGTACGGTTAGGAGTCCATGAAATATCAATAGTCGTGTAGATATGTAGAACGCCCCATTGAGGTAGTTCATACCACTTATTTGTAAAGGAGACAATATATTTTTATTAATATGGTCGGCTAAGTAAATGAATCCTGCCGAAAAATGAAATTACCATAGTGATAGAAAATAAAATGTTATTTATTAGACGGAAAACTATTTAAGAAATAAAATAGAAACAAAAGAAGAAACTCTAGATTCATCTAAACGAATTACTGACGAGCCAATCACTATTTAGTTTAAAGTGCGTTCAGAAAATCAAACATATGAGTTGACGCATAAATCGAAGAACAGGCACCATTAGATACGACACGCGACTATTAGATGCGAACAGTCGTCGAATGTTTGTTAAGTTGAAACGCACCGCTGAGAAATATAAATCAATCAGCATTAAATAATGTCTATGGTGTTGGGAATGGGAATGAAGTATAGAATGAGTTGGGATGCAATGGAGACCACTTTGTGAAGCTGAGGGGCTGGTTTGTTAAGTGGTGAGATTTTTATAAATTTCTCACTTTATTATAAATTTCTTCGATCCCCATAAGAAACAAATTCGTGTTTATAATTATTTTATTTGTGAGAAGATAAATAATTAGCCGGACTAGCCATATACTGTATACAATGTTACACAAATCAGTAATTAAAAAGGACGGACCTTACTGTATTGTATTGTTTTTTGTAATAATGTTTCGGTTTCATTGTTTTCGTGGGAGTATCATTATTTTATAGGAACATTATCGATAGGTTATATGTACGGAAAATATGAAAAAGTATTTGTTCCATCTGGTCTTTACAGTGATTTGTAAATAGCTTGTGGTGAATGTACTGACACGTTTACTGTATCAAGTACAACTAAATTTAGGGATCCATACTGTTTTCAAGAATTATTCTCTAAAATCAATTGCAATACTTATCTGAAATTAATATATGTATGCTTTACCTATAAGATTGATTATTTTTCTGATCTTTTTTCAGTTCGTTTTCGTGTGGTTCTGCTGACAGACGAAGTGAAGCCGTATGAAGAGGCTGTGGACGTTTTTGTTGTAGTAAGTAGTTAAATTATTTCAGAATTAATGTAAACTCTTCTTATTATCGCATACGGATATAGTGTTGCCATGTATCATCCTAGAAAACAATATGTATTTCTTCAGCTGTGTTCTTGATTATGATTATTCACATTAGTATTTCACAAAGTAGGAATGGAAATCCGAATTTTGAAGATTCCAGTAATTTGGCAGACTTTGCGGCCCTCCGTGAATCTACGTGTTTTTAGCTCTGTGTAATATTAAAACGTTAATGCGTCTTTATGTATTGCCAAAATATATTAAATTTGCCAAGATACATTCAATATTAATTATATCGCTGGTGAGGTAGATACTTTCTAATAATTAAATACGGTAAATTAAAGATGTCTGGTATAAAAAATATATTATGCTAAGATCGTTTCGATCGCGTAGAGAACGTTCTCAGTGCTTGCAGCTTCCGGGCCGAAAACACAGTTCTGCATTGTATTAATCAATCAATCATAATCGAATGCTAAAAGAACTTTGTTTTCGGCCCGGAAACTGCAAGCTCTGATGATGATTCCTACGTGATCGAAACTATCTTTAGCATAATAAATTTCTTGATCCCAGACATCTTTAATTTACCGTATTTAATACATTCAATATTTAATATTGATAAGTTGACATTATTGAACCTGACATGTGGATTTTTTAGATAAAGATTTATTGAAGAAAATAGCTCTTGGTTAAAAAATATGAATTGTATTTCCTTTAGAATTGAGTAAATTATATGTGTGTATATGTATGTGTGTAATTTATATACAAAAATACATTACTCATTGAAATAAATAATGCATTTAAATTGAAATTTATCAGATTGTCAGAATACAAAGGCAGATGAATACAAATTCTAGCAAATATTCATAGAAGTGAGAGTTGTCTTCGTTAAACATTGAACTGAATTGAAGCAAAAAGCCAGGCGGTACATTTGTTTTAATTTTGAGTACGCATTTTTTTTATCTGCAGATAGTCTAGTTTTATCGAGATCGGCCATGAGATTTAAGTTTGAAAAGTCTGGGGATTATCAATTTCATTCTCTATACCGATTTGCTTGTACAATAAACTAATGTATGATCGTCTTGAGCGTAAAAACAAACCAAAATTTGTAGATGGGTGAAACGTTTTGTAAACTTAAAATAACGAAAAATAGTTATTTTCGTAAAAAGTAAAGAATACTAATGAAAAGCTAACATTTGAAATGAGTTTACCAATGGCACTTTCCCACGAGTTTCAAACATTGCTCTCTGCACTAACTCAGAACGCATACAAGCTTAATATAGGGATCATTCACTGCATGCAGACACAAGCATGTCGATTCAAGTCGCCTCCGATATCCAGTTTTTAACTTATTTTGCCTTACGCAACACGCAAAATGATTATTTGTCGCATACCGCAAACATCACGTAACGCGTGCCGCAGAGTAACATTTTAATTAATAAAGACTGAACGTTTCTACTAATATCCTTGTTAAAAAGTACACCCATTTTCTTATTAATGTAAATGCAGAGAAATTACATAAATATATTCATTTTCCCAGAAATCCGAATATACATAATACCATTATTAATACTGTTACGAATATTGCGTCACCTGCCGAATTCGCTGCGCGTGGATTGCGTCATCTGCCGG